ACCTTCCTTTAACCTGACAGGGCAAGAATTGCTCTTGATTTGCCTGCAGAGCTCCAGGTATCATGACACAACGGGTACTCAGGTGACAGGACTAAGACTGCGATGCCTTTCTGATATTTGGGTTTAAATCTCCCCTGCGTGACTTGCTGGTGCAAAAGGGGGGATGTTGCTACCTGAAGCAGTCTGTGCAAAGGGACATAAGCATCAGTGCAGGACTGCTGGCTGTCCCCTTTCACACAAACCATGAGTATGCCATCATGCTCCTGCTAACATTTGCTTCTAATCAGACTGATCAAAGCCACTAGTGACATTGGTAGCTAACATGTCCTCTGTAGCTGCAAGAACACATCTTCTATGGACGCAGAAGATCAGGTAACGAAGCTGTGCACCCCAGCCACTGAAACACATCTCCCTGCAGAGCCAAACCAGAACCGAAGGACCCCCCAGTCCTGTGCTTTTAGTACTTTCCTGCCATGCAGCTGGGAATATGCCCCAAATTGTCCCAGAGACCCCATTCACTAAAGCACGTCCACTTCCATCACTGCTTTAATGTATGAACCATTTCAGATCATACCACATTTGGGTATTCAGGTTAGGGAACCGAACCACAGGCACAATATTTTACCAATTTCTTAACGAGTAAGAGCCCATCCTCTCATCATAGCCGCAATCCATAGCTCACAATTAAGTCATATACATGTAATTGTCTTATCAGGGCAAGCATTTATGACAGTACATAATTCTGAAAGTGCATGTGTCTGTGCAATTAGTGTGGCACGTGTAATTATGTAGTAAGACAGACAATTATGCACCAAAACCTAGGAGGACACATTGCTACTTAGGGGAGGGAGCCTTTCTTTGCTGGGGATAGTGACTGAGCAAGGAGGAGGGCTCCCAGCAGGGCAGAGAAGCCAGGGAGGAATGGTAGCGGAGGAAAAGAATACAATGAAAAAAACCACCCAGTTTTTCCCTCAATACATTCTGGCAGAATCTGGGACAATTTTGTGAGGTCATAGCAATGAGAGTATGCTCCAGACACTCCTGTGAGGAACAGAAGTCAATGCACTGATGAATTACCTGAAGAAGATAACTGAGAAGGTCACAAGGATGGAAGCAGCTGTCAAAATAAAGCTTTTCAAGACAGTCCAGGCCACAGAGCCTGTCCAGGATAACCGTCTGGGTCTGGGAAAATGGCACACATTGGGATGACGACACCACGGGTGGGAGGAGGCGTGGAGGAGGAGGCGGGCGGTGGGACGCACGCAGACCCCCTGCCTCGGCTGTTTGGCAGAAGGAGGGGAGCTTGCCAGGGGGTTGCTTTTGCTCCTGGGTGATAAGTATGTACCAACAGCTTTGTGTTCGTCGCCTACAGGGAGAAGGCTTTTCAAAGCCTGCACCATTACAAAGGTCTGTAAATGGGAAAAGGGCTGCATTCAATCCTAATTGTAGTCAGCAATACAGCATTCACAGTGATTCCCATACACTGCTCTTCTAGACTCAGATTTTCCAGAAGTTACTGTTACACTTACACAGTCTCTGAATGCGCATTCATTTCTATTTAAGTCAAGATGCAACGGGGTAATTAGTGTCATTTCTACAATGCTGCTGCACTTTAGTAAACTGCAGTTATTAGCAGCTTAGAGAATTATTAGCATATTTCCTCCTTGGTTGAATTCTTCATCTACAAAAGTGTAAGTGTTTGGGCAATCAACTCTTTTAGGAGGAAAAAAATGTGGGTGTGCTACTAGCAAGACCCAGCAAATGTACTGCCAGTGCCTTCCTTTGTTTGATGCAACGCAAATGCATATGACAAGAAGTGGGAGGCAATTCTTCTGAACCACATCGACATTATTCTGAAGCAACAGCACAGTGGGGGGAAGAGAGGAAAAGATTAAACAACTAAAAACATTTCAGAGTTTAAAAAATCTAAAACACAGTTTCCTGCTTGTGGGATTCTACCAATCACTCCAGCCAAGTCTCAGGACAGCTTTTGATGCTGTTCGTCTCCTGGCGTCACTAGCATTGTTGACTTCCCATTTCTTCAAATTTCATTTTCCTTTGGACATGTCCTGCACTGCACCCACTTCTCCTCCCACTGCCTGATCACTGAGCCAGTGCTATGTTCAACCCTTTCCCCTCTGCTCTTGGACCTAATTCGTGGGCTCACCATGCCTCTCGCAGTTTTAGTACAATAGCGTAACTTAAAATCACATTTGCATATGGTTGACTCGCTAATCCACACCTCCCTGCTGATGTCAATCATCTTCTCCCTCTTCACCTGCTGTCTCGCCTCTCCGATGCCTCTTTGCAAAGGAGAAGGGACCAAATGATGGATTTGCTAGGGGGTTGAATCTGGCACACCTTCAAAAGAGAGCGGCTGCTTTGATTCAGCTCATCCTTTTAAGAATGCGGTCACCATCTGCGTCACAGATGGAGCCAGTCCCAAGCGCTGCGAAGATACAGAAGTCACCTGCACCTCTGTGCTTCCAGATCGCCACCCTGTCCAGCGAGAAAACCCATAGCCAACACAGATATTGCTCCACTCTTGCTAGCAACAGCAAGTATTTCTTTAGAGAAGTCATTTTCTGTAGCAGAATGGTACCACACGGAAGTGTTGCAGTTCTTGACGAGTAAGAAAAGCAAAAGCAGAGTCGTACAAGGTGCTAACACCCATGCCTCACAGCTCATGTTCACTACCACACAACAGGTGCTCAGGTGCCACCATCCCACCCCATCCCAGATGGGAATGATGCTGGCTGGGGCGCTCCCTCCCTCCCACAGCAGCTGCCACCTGGTCCACCTCCAAAAATGTGGTGACCCCCCTCGTCACTGGAGGGACAAGACTGCTCCAGGTGGGAGCCTTTGCAGAAAGCAGTCTAAAGAAATGTGCCAAACACTTTGTGTTTTGGAAATTTCCTGTTCTGGTGAGCTAAGAGAAAGCAGCAGCAGAGAAAAACTCTTCAAAAAGATCCTGGAACTGGAGAAGAAAAAGGATGCAGCTGATGATGGGGGGCCTCAAGGAAAGGAAGGGGATTTCTACTTACAGGAACCATGTCTTTTCATTAAAAAAAAAAAGCCCAAAACCAAAGTGTTGTCTTCTTGTTCCTTGCATGAAAAGGACCCATTTTTTTGTAGGATATTTTTATACTGACTCCTGAGG